AATACTTGATCTTTCTGTTAGTTTGGTTCTCCACCGCAAATTTCCATAGCTTAAATTTAGAGAAAACTTCATATTTCTGCTTCAAGAAATACACCCAAACTTTTCTGGAGAAATCATCAATAAATGTAACGAAATACTAAGATCCTCCTAATGACGATTACCTGGTAGGGCCCCATACATCAGAATACACATAATTAAGAATCCTTTTAGTTTTATGTTTTTCAGTCATAAAATTAACTCTAGTCTGTTTATTTTTCAAGAAAACAAAACTTAAAAAGATCGAGCTTGCAGCTTTTAACACCATGCAACAAGTTTCTTATATATAATTCCGATATACAATTCCGTCATCCCACGTTCACTAAGATGACCTAGACACATATGTCATAGCTTTGTATTATCATCATCTGACTCCACAGAATGAAATCCACCTACAACTGTACCCCCCAACAGTTTGTAGATATTACCTACAGTTAACTTTCCTTTCATCATAGTCAATACACCCTTAATAATTCTGACGGTTTTCCTATCCTCATCTGCTTTAGGAATTAAACCATTTCTAAAGTGCCCATGGAAATCAAATTCTTCTTCAGATCTGGAATATGTCTGACATCACATAATGTTCTAATAGTGTTATCATACATCTGAATTCTGACTTCACCAATACCAACAATATTGCAGCATCTATCATCACCTAAATAGACTGAGCCAGAATTAGTTAACTTGTCTGAAGTAAACCACTCCCTGTTAGGTGTTATGTGATAACAACATCCTGAATAAAAAATCTATGCATCCCTGAACTGGGCTGATGAAACTGAAAGCATATTGTCATCACTACAATCTGAATTGTCACTCTGCACCAGATTTACAGACTTCGATGATGCATCACATTTTTCTTCAATCTACTTCTTCAGCTTTGGACAATATCTCTTCATATGACCCGACTCCTTGCACTTGTATCAATTAATTGTCTTTTTGCTTTTGGACTTTGATTTGGAATTTAGCCTTCCAGAACCCTCACTCTCTTTCTTCCTTCCATGATCCTGATTACCCTTAACATATAAACTGTTGCCATGAGAGCTTCCCCTGCATTCTATTTCCACTGGTTGTGAACCAAAAATGCTGCAGTAATCTCAGTTTCTTTTGCATATGTCAGAGTAGTCACCAAGTGTTCATAAGAAGAAGGCAATGAACACAACAAAATCATTGCTCGGTCTTCATCCTCATTACTCACATCAAGCTGTGATAAATTTGTGATTATTTGATTGAAGTCATTCACGTGAGAACCTTCTTGCATCTTCAGCCCATACAAATTTTGCTTCAGATACAATTTATTTGTCAGAGATTTAGACATAAACTGAGTTTCAAATTTCTTCCATGCCTCCCCTAAAGATTTTAGATTCATCAGATGATACATAACCTTATTTGCCAGACACAAGTGTATAGTTGCTGCCGCTTGTTGTTGCAATTCTTCCCAATCTTCATCCTCCATGACATCTGGTTTCTTTGCCCGCAAAGCTTTCAAGATTTCCTGTTGCACCAATAGAACTTTTACCCTTGTTTGCCATAATCCAAAGTTACCAGTTTTATCGAACTTCACCTCCTTGAATTTTGCACCAGAAAATGTCAATGAAAATTGATCCTGCAACAAAACTTTCTGCAAAAAATTCTTCTGCAAAAATCCTTAGAACTTTTTTTTTTCAAAATCTTTCAGCAAAGCAAAAAATTTCTTCTCCGCCTACAAGAAAAGAAATAAATATTTACTTTATTTCCTTTCCTTATCCATCAAAGGAAATTCTTAGATTTTCTTAATTTAATTTAAATCAACTTAATTAAGAAAAGCTTCCATCGAAGGAATTATTTCCTTAATTAAAAGGCTTGCAGCAAATAATTAAGGAACCAGCAACTTTTCTTCTCCGCTTTAATTATTTCCTTTAATTAAAGCATCCAGAAAGGAAATTTTCTTCTCCCTTTAATTATTTCCTTTAATTAAAGCTTCCACCAAAGGAAATTCCTTGATTACTCAGGCCACCGATGAAAGGTGCATCGCGAACTTCTGTGTCGCGAATGGAAGAACCTCTACGGAATTCCTCGACTCCTCGAAGCTGAACTCCTACATATGAAAACTTCAAACCTAATTCCAACAAGATTTAATTAAAGCAAACACCAATTTCAGCATATGAGAACTCAATAAACACCTCTTTCAACAAATAAAAACTTTGAAATGTGATAGCAAGTAAATATTAGACTTCAATAGATCTAGTTTTAACTCGAAGCAAATTTAGTTATGAAGATTTCAACATGACATATACAAGAAAGACATTTAGTAGTAGATAATACAATAAAAATAATAAAGAAAATAGTAAATATTTATAAGACTTCAATAGATCTAGTTTAAACTCATAGCAAATTTAGCAATGATGATTTCAAATGTGCTAGACCCCCTCGAATTTTTCATATAAAACTCGTGTGTATTATGAGATTCTATGCGGAGCTTAATGTGAAGTTCTTAAATATTTACTCTACCACTATAAATTTTCTACTTCGTATGGGTAGAGCTTGGATTTGAGATTTAGATAAGCGATACGAATTTGAACCAATCCCAACTTTCACCGCCAACTGCCCAAAACTTCTCAGCAAGGCGAAAATTTTGGGCAAGGCAACCAATGCCGACATCACTAAGGATGAAAACAAAAACTAAATAAACAGAAAAAACCAAATCAAAGTGTTAAAAACCAATCAATTGAATGTAGTTAAATTTAGGGTCAATTTTGTCCAAGTTTGAGAAACTTAGCAAATCGATAATATTGCTCCAATTCACATTTGAGCATATTTCAAACTGCAATAAACTTAAGTGAACCAATTATGAGCACATATATTGAAATAAATCTTAGCCATCATTTCTTAGAAAAATCATAACCTTTGATATTTTAGTTGTCCATAAATGTTCAACTGCTCTACCAGCAGAAAAACTGATATTGAATAAATTATGAATCATAGGTAAAGGTGTACTGAAGAAGGTTGAGAAAGAGGTTAATTGGATTCATTTAAACAAACTGTTTTTTTTTTATTCAAACAAATAAAATACATTCCTTCAAAAGAATGAAACTACAAAGCATGCAAGTAATAACATAGAGTGACATTTCACATTTTAAGTCAATTGATCACTTTAGTTTTCGTTTTTTATATTTATTTTTTGTTTTTATTTTAAAAGCATATTTGCTTAGTACATTTTTACATGTTTTTCTTTTATTTTAAAAAATAATTTAGTTTGTTTTTAAAATTATTAAAAATATTTAAAGTTGTTTCGAATGTTTTTAAAAATAACTAAGCATGTTATAGAATATCAAACATGTTTTATTTCAAATGAACACAAACAAAACAAAATAAAATAGCATGAAACAAAAAAAAAAAAAGTGATCCCAATTGACCCCTAAATATATCTCCAACTCAAATTGAACAAACATGCCAGATTCATTTATAAACTGCAAACCAAATTAGAACCGAACCAAATCATTAGAAACATTTTGATCAATTTGATTTCTCTTTTAGAACAAGATTTCATACATTGGCTTCGGCGCTGACATGCAAAAGTGAGTTCCAACTTCCAAGTTCTAACCAATCCGATTCGTAAATAAAGTATTAATAAATTCTTCGGAATAGGGGTGTAAATGAGCCGAGCACGAGCGAGCCAGGCTCAGCTCGTGTTCGGCTCGTTTATATTTCGAGCTCAAAAAATATGTTCATGTTCGGCTCGTTTGCTCAGCGAGCAGAAAAATACAAATAGTCGTTTTGACAACCCTAATCACGTAGCTATAAAATGTTAAAGATTAGGGCAAGATTTAAAACATCATTTGAATATAATTTAATAATTTTTATTCTATTTTCTTCATTAATACTTTGTGTAGCTTATAAATCTGTGTCGCCTTGTAGTCAATTAAATTTTTTAAAAATACTACTCATCAAACATATATATATATAATTGACTAATAGCATTTCGAGCCAAAACAAGCCGAACACGGACGAACAAATATTTGTTCGTATTCGGCTCCCTAACTCAGCGATGGAACCGAACACGAGCTTCTTAACGAACCAAACACGAGCTGTTCACGAACAAGACCCGTTTTGACAGCCCTACTTCGGAAGTAATTGCCAAGGTTCCTAACCCAAATAAATTTCCACCCAGCCGACTTTGAAGCGGCAAAATTAAAAAAGAAATACCATTAAAATGCACCAAAATAAGAAGGCAAGTAAAAGTTTCAAATTTACTTGAAAATGCCAGGCTTCTTGGGGTAATGGAATACTGGATGCACAAAAACCTTGAGAAAATCCCTCCAATACAGCACATCCTCCACCGTCGAATTGAAGCTTGTACCGCACCGGATCGGATCCATCACATGCCGCCCCATATTCTCCTCCATCTCCTCCGCCGAAAGATCGAAGAAACCTACAGAAGCTTCTATCATCGCCGTCTGTAACTCTTCTGGCACGCCGTGGTTCACAACCTAGACCAATCATGGAATAAACTTAGATAAATCAGCGCCACAAAGCATCTCAAACCATGCCCATTCCCTTCATGGTTGCTATTTACTTGACGGTTCAACTTACAGTGAAGAATCCCCATTCCTCGCAAGCACGACCGAGCTCCCGGACGATTTGTGCACGAGTCTCTGGGTCCCTGCTAGAAAG